CAAAACCTCTTTAAAGTGTTCGAAAACTGTCAATTTGAGGACTAAGGTGCGCCTGACCCAAGCCATGGTATTTTCAATAGCCTCATATGCATGTGAAAATTGGATAATGGATAAGGGAGACCATAGAAGAATTGATGCATTTGAGTGATGATGTTGGAGAAGAATATTAAAAGTACCATGGACTGCCAGAAGAACAAAGGTTAGAAGTACAACCAGAATGCTGCTTAGAAACCAGGATGACGAGACTTCGTGTCCCATCCTTCAGGACGACGATGTCTTCATCGTCTCCTTCTGGAGAAAGGCATCATGCTTGGTAAAGTGGAGGGTCAGGAAGAAAGAGGAAGACGCCCAATGAGATAGATTGGCACGGTGACGGCAGCACTGGATTCAAGTGTAACCCTTGTGAAGGTGGTACAGGACTAGGTGGTGTTTCCTTCTGTTGTGCAAAGGGTCACTATGAGTCAAATCCTGACAACAATCCTTTGTCTTGTGCGGCCCCTTCCCCTTAGTGTGTCATCAGCTAGTGTGTTAATTTGTTGTTCATTGCTGTTGTATCATCAGTTCCAACGCACAGCCACCCTATATAGTGTTTTTGAGGAGCGACTGGTGGGTTTGAAACCCAGACCTTGACGTTAGCAATCTAGTGCTTATCCTACACCACCACATCAGGACTTTCTAGTGTGTTTAGATTTCCTTTATCAATGCCTGTAGCCCAAGGCGGAAAGAGAAACACACAAAAAAGGGTAGAACAGGAAAGGAAAAGTAACATTCGCTCTTTGTAGATAGCTTCTGTATTGGACCATTCCAGCTCTTATGCTGGAAATTAACAGCTCTACCTTAGTTTTCTCTGCTATTCATAAGGTTTTCAGTGACTAAATATTCAGAAGTAGTTCATCACTCCTTCCTAGTCCGTCTTCGTCTGGAAACTCATCTGAAACCTGTCCACCATGGGTGACCCTGCTGGTATTTAAAATACTGGTGGCATAGCTTCCAGAATCACAGCATCTCACAAGCTACCAGAGTACGACAAACTGACAGACGAGTGGTGGCAGCCTCGATGGACTCAAGTGTGGCAACAGTAGTGAGGTTGGCCCAGGATCGGGCAGTGTTTCGTTCTGCTGTGCATAAGGTTGTTATGGGTCGGTACTGACTCAATGGCAGCTAACAACCTTAGCTTTCATTGTCTGCTTGGGCTGAGCATAAATAGCACCCAGAGGTGTAGATTGTGGTCTTTGGTCTTTTTTAATCATGTGTCTGCCCCTGGGCAAATGTATTGCTTTTGAAATTCCCCAGCATACTTGGTAAGCTTTCCAATGCTTACCTTCCCAGAGAATCCCAATCTCTAGGTTTTTTTTTCCTTCTAGACTTTCATTTTATCTATTGTTGCGTTTGGCTGCTAACCAAAATACTGGAGGTCAGGGTTCACCCAGAGGCTCCTTAGAACAAAGACTTGGCAATATAGTTCCAAACAAATCAGCCATTAAAAACCCGTGCAGTACTAGACAAGTCTAGTCTTGGCACACATGGGGTCTCCATGTGTCTGAACTAGTCACCAGCAATTGGTGATTATTTGTGTGTGTGTGTCTCAACTTTAATATCTTGGCCCAGACAGCAGTGGGTTGTTAGTTTGCTTTTCTCTGATTTTAAGGAATGCCCTCCACTTAGCAACTTTTCCACCCAGAATGTTCCAAGTTAGACAAAACAAAGGCGAATGACTTGTATCAGCCCTTCAGCTCAAAATAAACACATCTTTGAGAATAAGATCTGCCTGGAGTCCTGGTGTGGCTCTCTGGGTTAACGCACTAGACTGCAAAGTTGGTTGGAATCACAAGGTCTGTGGTTCAAGCTCACCAGTTGCTCCTCGGAAACCCTATACAGGGTTGGAACCTACTCAACAGCACTTAACAATAATAACAAATGCTCCCTCTGGAGACATGCACCAGGGTCTCACACTGAGAACGCAAGCTGCCATCTTCGAGAGTGTTTTCAAGCTGGTGGAAAGGGTTAACTAAAACTGTTAGATCAAAGACAGACTAGGAAGAAAGGCCTGGCGAGCTACACCTGAAGATCAGCCAATGAGAACTTGAAGAATGATGACAGTTTTGGATGGTATAGGACTGGGTAGCTGGATATGTGATCACTGTGAGCCTGAGACCAACCTACCATATGTTGTTGTTAAGTGCTGTCGAGTTGATTCCAACCCATAGCGACCCTGTATAGGGTTTGCGAGGAGCAGCTGGTGAGCTTGAATTGCCGACCTTGCAGTTCAAACAGCTTTGCAGTCTGGCACATTAACCCACAGCACCACACCAGGACTCCTAGCAGCTAACAAAAACAAATTGAGACAGTACCTCTCTGTATTATGCATTATACGAGGGTAAGTCAAAAGTATGGTTTCAAAGTTGTAGAGTCCTGGTGTGGCCCTGTATGATAATGCACTAGACTGCATGGTCGGTGGTTCAAACTCACTAGCTGCTCCTTGGAACCCTATATAGAGTCGCTATGAGTTGGAACTGACGCAACAGAACTTAACAACAACAAGGTCTGTATACTTCCGAAAGCAGTGTTTCCATCTAACGGTACCCCAAAGAATTCTTCACTCTGATTTACATATACATCAAAATGGCAGTTTTGACACTGTCAGAGGACTGTGATCCTTCGAACCATTCTTTGACTTTGGGGAAGAAATTTAATTTCTGGACTACAAATTTAGCTTCTCTCTGTTGATGTTTTCAGTGTTCCCATTGGGCCAATATATCAGAAAATTCCTTGGCAAGCTAACTGATTCCTGTGCTAGCCCTTAAACACAATGATTCAACGAATACCCTCTTGTATGCATTTGTGGCAGACACAAATTTACTTTTCAAGGTCATCACTGGGGGTCTATTCCTTACCGTAACTCTGTATACCATATGAGACAAAAGCAATCATGTGAGTTCTTAACTCTAAGACAATATTAGTAGTTTTATTCATTTCATCTTTCATGGTTTTACAGCTTTAGCAAAAAATAATGGACATTGTGTGATTAATATATAATTAATGAGAAGGAAGAATAGTCCAAAACCCTGACACTCCTTACATCCCTAAAAAACACCTTAGCACATTGGCAAAGAGCCTTCCACAGCGTTACATATATATTCATATTGTTGTTGTTAAGTGCCATTGAGTCAGTTCCAACTCCTAGTGACCCTGTATAGGGTTTTCAAAGAGCAGCTGGTGGGTTTGAACAGTCAATCCTGCAGTTAGCAGTCCAGGGTTTATCCTATAGTGACACACCAGGACCTTAAATTCATATTGTTGTTAAGTGCCATTTAGTCGGTTCCAACTTCATTGTGACCCTGTATAGGGTTTCTGAGGAGCATCTGGTGAGCCTGAACCACCAACCTTGCCGTTCAAACTGACCTTGAGCTCAAGTGCTTATCCTACAGCACCACACCAGGACTCCTTAGCTTTCTATTTTATTAATATTTATGAACATTTACATTCTATTAATATTCACAATAATAACTTATATCATTGCCAAGAGGGCTACGGAACTTTGGTGGTGCAGTGAGCTACACACATTGGACTGCTAACGGAAAGATCTAGGGTTGGAACCCACCAGCCGCTCTGTGGGACAGACATGAGACTGTCTGCTCCCAGAAAGACTGACACCCTATAGGGTCACCATGAGCTGGAACTGAGTCAACAGCAGTGGGTTTACCAAGAGGGCCACAATCTATTTCTCTCCTAAATATGTGTTCTGTTCCTTTTACTGGAGTCCTGGTGTGGCACTGTAGGATAAGCACTGGACGGCTCATCTAGAGGTCTGCAGTTTAAAACCATCAGTTACCCCTTGGAAACCCTATACAGCAGGAGTAGGGAACGTCTGGCCCATGAGTCGTATAAAGCCTGCAACATCATCTGGTCTGGTCCTACCAAGACAGTTCCAGCCATCACATTGTTGTTGTTAGGTGCCATGGAGTCGGTACTGACTCATAGCAACCTTATGCACAGCAGAACCAAACACTGCCCGATCCTGGGCCAACCTCACTACTATTGTCACACTTGAGTTCATCGCTGCTGCCACTTGGCCATCACATTAGGGGTGAGTTAATGAAATGTTTGACCAAAGACAGCAGACTCATTTTTAAGTTGATAGTGTTGTATAACCTGTGAATGATGTTATAAATGTTGTCAGAAGAACGGTTCCCCACCGCTGTTATACAGGGTCACTGTGAGTCAGAACCGACTCGGGGCTTAATAACAACAATTCTTGCCATTGTGGGTCTGTCATCATTTTAATGTATTTGTTCCAAAGGTTCTGAGTCCAGAGAAATGCCCTCTCACAGTGAGTGCTTACAGGGTTTATCACGAGCCCGGGCTCTCCACAAACCGGAAGCTGTAAATTCTGAGTCAAGCCAATGTCACCCCTCATTTATCTAAAGATCCTTGCTCATGTGGACTTTCTGATGGTATGTTAGACGTGAATGGTGACTGAAGTCCTTGCCACACACATCACATTTGTATGGCTTTTCTCCCGTGTGGACTCTCTGGTGGGTGTGACGACGTGAACTCTGACTGAAGCCCTTCCCACACTCCTCACACTTAAATGGTTTCTCTCCAGTGTGAGCACTCAGATGGACTTGGAGGTTTGAGGGGAGACTGAAGGCCTTCCCACACTGCTCACATTTATAGCGTTTCTCTCCTGTGTGAACCCTCTGGTGATGACGAAGATTCAGTCTCCTCCAGAAGCCTTTCCCACACTGCTCACATTTATAGGGTTTCTCTCCAGTGCGGCCTCTCTGATGGTATATAAATTGTGAACTGTACCTGTAACCCTTTCCACAGACGTCACATTTGTACGGCTTCTCTCCAGTGTGGACTCTCCGGTGAGACTGGAGACCCGAGGACTGACTAAAGCTTTTTCCACAGACACATTTGTAGGGTTTCTCTCCAGTATGAACCCTCTGGTGCACCCAGAAATCTATGGCCTGACTGAAACTCTTAGCACACTCTTCACATTTATACGGTTTCTCTCCCGAGTGGACTTTCTGGTGTGCGTGAAGCTTTGACGTCCAGCTGAAGCCCTTCCCACACGCCTCGCATTGATACAGTTTTTCTCCAGTGTGAATCACCTGGTGCAGTTTAAGGTTTGAACTGTAACTGAAGTTCTTACCACAAACATCACACTTGTAGGGTTTCTCTCCAGTGTGGACTCTCTGATGGGTTTGAAGTTTTGAGAACTGACTGAAGCCCTTGCCACATGTCCCACATTTGAATCGTTTCGCCCCAGTGTGGACGTTGTGATGGACTTGAAGATTCGAAGCCTGGCTGAAGCCCTTGCCGCACTCCCCGCATTTGTAGGGTTTCTCTCCCGTGTGAACTCTGTGATGAATGTGAAGGTCTGTGTTTCGGGTGAAGCCTTTCCCATAGGCCTCGCATTTGTAGGGTGTCTCCCCAGTGTGGACCCGCTGATGGATGCGGAAATGCGCAGCCTGACTGCAATCCTTACCACACCCCTCACATTTGTAGGGTTTCTCACCCTTGTGGACCTGCTGGTGAACACGAAGGTCAACACTCCAACCGAAGCCCTTCCCACAGTCTTCACATTTGTATGGCTTTTCTTCAGTGTGGACACTCTGGTGGCGCTGGAAATTTGAACTCTGATTAAAACACTCCCCACACTCCACACATCGATAGGGTTTCTCTCCAGTGTGAGTTCTGTCATGACCGATCAGGCCTGCGCTGCTGTGGACTCCCTGGCCACAGGTGTCACACTGGTAAGCTTTCTCCCCCCGAGGGTCAGAATGGGGAGCAGGAAGGCAGCTCTTACTGAAGCGATGACCAGATTCAGGACACCTGCTGAGTCTCCCTCCTGGGCGAGTTGTCCGATGGGTTGGCAGAGGTGGGCTCTGAGGAAGACATTTCTCACCTGAGCGAACACTTTGGTGACTGGGGAGAACCGGCTAAAACCAAAGCCTTTCCCACACTCATTACATGTATGGGGTTCTTCGTCAAAAGGTCATCGCTGACTGGAGTGAGTCCTAAAGATTTTCCCGCATTCATCCCATTTGTAGGGTTGTAATTCTGTGCCCGTGTTAATATGCTCATGAAGGGGTGATTCCATCTTGACGTCTTAGTGCATTCGCAGACTGCTTTTCACGGGAAATTCCTTATTTCTACTTGGACTCTGAGAGTCTCTCAGATATGGATGTCTCCGAGAATTCTGGGTTCGCCAAGTTACAGACTCTTCGCTGTCGGGAACAGTTGAGTCATCTCCTTTCTGCTTCGTTACATAGTTCTCACTTCCGGGGAGCTGGACACAGTCACTTTGCAGTAAGTGGGAACTCTTCCCTTGGAGACTGATCGTGAGGTCTTGACTCCTGGCCAACTCGCTTGCAACTTGCTCCCAGATATGCCAGCGGATGAGCTCTTCACGCAAGTGTTTCAATGCAACTTTTCGAAGCGTCTCCATCTCATTTGGATTCCTGCTGCCTAGAAAAATAAGCCATACTCAGAACGGGAGACAAGCCAATGCTTTATCAGAAATACTACGATTTCACACTTAGGCCACAGGGGAAGGTTCATTTTGTCTTTACTGTTACTTACCCTGTTTGAGGCAAAGAGGGAGGTCAAAGGCCTCGTCTCCACTAAATGTAAATGAAATCCACTTAGAACTACAAATAAAATCACCTATTGTGAGGACTACAGAGTCCTCGTGGTTCTGTGGGTTAGGTGTGGGACTGTCAACTACAAGGTCAGCAGTTAATGCGCCAGACTTCAAAGTCATTTGAATTGCAAGGTTGGCGGTTCAAGCTCACCAGCTGCTCCTCAGAAACCCTCTACAGGATCGCTATGGATCAGAACTGACTTAATGGCACTTAAAAACAACAACAAGAGCAAGTTAATCTTACAGTCCAGGAACAGAGGACCCTAGAAAGGGAGAAATGCACAAGCAGAATGTGGAACCCTATCCAGAGAAGCAGTGTCACCAGAGATGGAGGCAGAGATGGGGACATGGAGAGAGGGAGCAGCTGAGGACTCCAGACTCAGGGAAAGAGAGGGACTGAGTGCTGGCGGCCAGGAGGCAGGCTTGCAGAATGTGCCCTTCGGTTGTTTAAATTATTATATATTCCTGAGTGTTTTGGTGTACATCCCTTCCTCCCCCCATTGCCCCTGCCAAAAAAAAGAGGGAATGGAAGCAAATACTGTTGAATGATGATACATGGAGGAAATTGTAATCAATGCAATGAAACGATGGTGTAAAGCCAATGTTCTCCCATGTAAAGTATCACTCAGTTCACAATAAAAACTTACAAAAAAAAAAAAAAAAAAAAAAGCCACAGGCTAAAAACTGTTTAAGGGGGGCATACCAAGTTTTAAATAATTAACCTTCTTAAATGGGAAGTGACATTCTAATTAATACAAATGTGTAAAAATGCCAACAAGTATATTTCTGGTTATGAGTGCTAAGCTAAAACACTGCCCTGCAGAGACACCCACGTCCTGTTCCCCAGAAACCTGTGACTCCATTACTGTACATGGCAAAGGGGACACTGAAGATGTGACAAATGAAGGATCTTACAAGAGACCATCCCAGATTATCCATGTAGGGTCCAAATAAGAGGGAAGAGGGGAGGTCAGAGAGAGATGGGGAATATGGCCACGGGCCAAGGAAGGCAGGCAGCCTCTAGATGCGGGAAAGGATGAGTGCAGGGATTCTCCCTGGAGCTTCCAGAAGGAAAGCAGCTGCCCAGATTCAGGGCCAACTTCTGGCTGCTGGTGAACACAGAACAGTAAGATAACAGGACTCCTGGCATGGCGCTACACGACTTCTAACTCCTTTGTGAACTTCTAACCACAAACCCAGTGGTTCAAACCCACCAGCTGCTCGAAAACCCTTTACAGGGTCGCCATGAGTCAGAACGGACTTGACGGCACTTGTTGTTAAGTGCCATCAAGTTTGTTCCAGCCCATACTGACCCTGTATAGGTTTCCGAGGAGTGGCTGGTGAGCTTGAACCACTGACCTTGCGGTTCACAGCAACTCTGCAGTCCAGTGTATTACCCACAGTGCTACAGCAGGACTCCTGACAGCGCTCAGCAACCACATAATATAGTAACTTGCTAGTTAAAGTGACCACATTTATGTCCATTTGTCACAGCAACAGCAGGACACTAGTACAACAAGGCTCACATGTACTGGGTGTGAAGTTCTCAATTTGGAGTCCTGGCGTGGTGATGTGGGACAAACACTGGGCTGCAAGTCTGAATTGCGAGGTCAGAGGTCGCTATGAGTCAGAAACGACTCGAGAGACTTAACACAGATGTTCTCAGTTTGGATTGCTAACCACAGGCCTGAGGTTCAAACCCACCAGATGCTCCTGGGAACCTATACAGGGCCGTCATGAGTTGGAGATGACTTGATAGCACTTAACAACAACAACAAACATTCTAAAAAAGGTGCCCTAGTGGCACAGTGGTTAAAACACTAACTGAAATGTTGCTGGTTTGGACCCACCAGCTGCTCCACAAGAGACAGATGAGGCAATCAGCTTCCATAAAGATGGGTAGCCTTTGGAAACTTGGTGAGGCCGTTCTATTGACCTATAATGAGACGGAATAAGCTTCATGACAGTAGGTTTAAACTCTAAAGACATGTATTTAAGATAAATCTTTTCTTGAATTTAGGAATTTGGGAAGATGGACGGGTAGACAAAAAATCGTTGGGCTCCTCCCATATAAAAACAAGAAATACAACAAGGACACAGTGCTGGACTTCGAGGGAGTCTCAAGCGGGGAGCACATGAAAACAGTGGGGGACAGCAGACCAGCAAAACTCAACAAGTTGCATACAGTAGGAAAAATGGATCCTTCCCCATTGCCTCTCCAGTCAGTCACGTGGGCCACCAGCTGCTGTGAACCAGGGAAGCGGCTCCAGAGAAAGAGGCTGTTTCCCCAACTACCATGTCACATTCTTGTACGTCACGTTCTTGTACGTCACGTTCTTGCACGAAGAGATGGGATCCCAAGCTTCTGCTCTTATATCGGTAAGCCAGACCTCGCTGGCGAACCATCTGGCATGTCCTATAGCACCTCCCCAACACAGACACTGCGGGCTGAATAAACCGCTATGGAAGGCCCCCTGCAGTGGAGTCTGCGCTCACAGACAAGACTCGACCTGGCTCCTGTGAATCGCAGAGCTCAGCCCTGTGAAACCAAAAGGGCAAACAGAACTCCCAGGGATGTGGTTTCCCATGCCGGTCCATGTTACGGCCTGTTGACAGAGGCTGTTGCATACTAGGAAGCAGACAACAAAACAGACTTCCCTAGGGGTCCATTTGGAGTGTACGAGCACCTTCTCTACCCAGACTTGCTGTAAATCCCTAGAGAAAGCTCCTACAGTGGAGCCTGCCCCCACAGCCAGCACGCGGCAGGACTCCTCGGCACCCACAGCTCAGGCCTCTGATATGGACAGGACAGGACAGCCCTCCCTCCCAGGGAGTCTCCTCAGGTCTGTTTATTCCCCTTCTGGTTGGAGCTGAAGACTGCTGTCTGAGGCTGCTATGTGTTAGGGATCAGGAGCTGTGAGTGGAGGCTTCACTCAGCCAACAATAGACCCGGGAGACTCTGACAGCAACAGGGTCCCCTTCCCCAATCTGGAATTTGGTGGCTGTAAATTACGACAGAAAGCCCCCAGAGTGGAGTCGGCTCCCACAGTCAGCCCTCGCTGTGAAGCCTCATACCACCTCAAAACATCTGAAACCAGCAGGATCCTGGGGCCCAGTTTGAGTCTGTCTGCTCTCCCTTGTAGTCAGGCCTATGGACTGCTGACTGAGGTTGCTATGTGCATCTTAACTGGAGGTTACACCCAGAGCCAACATGGGCCCTGACAGAGACAACCTAGATGCCTCCACCCCAGGGACCCATGGGAGTGTGACGATGCCTCCTCCACCCTGATACAAACTCCTGATAGTAGAGGCAGGAGGAGGGTCACCAAAGTGGATCACCCCAATCACCACACCTTCCGGAGGTCACTCTGAGGAGTGCAAGCCCTCCTCCTGAAACAGAGAAAGTCTGTGCTTTCCCATAATGCCAGCTCAGATACAAACAGCCCCACAGAAAAGGGAAAGAACCCTTGAGTAAAATTGGAGATCAATACCCAGCCCTTAAAGTGACTGGGAAGAAAAATGTCATTGCAGAAACAGAGAAGGGAAGGATAGAATGATCAGAGAGGGGGGAATGCGCCCCCTAGTGGAGAGATTGACTTTTTCACACTATATTGACTGAGTTGGTGATACTGACAGGACAGACTGACCATAGTCTGTTTTCTGGTGTATGTGTGGGAGAAACTGATGGTTAAAAAATGAAATCTGGAATCCTTGAATCCCAATTAAATCAGGAAGAGAGACGGAGCTACAACAGAGAGGAAGAAGTGGAAAGGAAAGGCCATAAGCTCTGTCCGCCTAAGTTTTTTGCAAATGTTGTTGTTAAATGCCATTGAGTCGATTCTGACCCACAGCAACCCTGTATAGGGTTTCCAGAGAGCAGCTGATATTGTTGTTGTTGTTAAGTACCATGGAGTCAGTTCTGACTCATAGCGACCCTGTATAGGGTTTCCGAGTCTGTAAATCTTTACGGGAGCAGAAAGCCTCATCTTTCTCCTGTGGAACAGCTGGCAGCTGATATTAGTGCAGGCAAAAACACCAAGTACTGGGGAAAACGGAGAAAGTTATTAACTCTCTTGAAAATGCCACTGCCCCAACAACAACAAAAAATCACAAGACGCATAAAGAACAGAGACACAATGGTCCATCTAACTGGACATGACAGAGTGAAAGCACATCTAGGAATGGTCAAATAATTTTTTTACTGGAATAATAAAACATTAAGCAGAATTAAAGAACTCGGGGATTCCTGGTGTGGTACTGTAGGATCAGCACTGGGCCACAAGGTCTATTTGAACTGCAAGGTCAGTGGTTCAAACTCACCAGCTGCTCACAGGGTCGCTGTGAGTCAGAACTGACATGAAGGCACTTAACACCAAACAATAATAAACAGCTAAGGATCTTGAGCATTTCTTCATAGTTTGTTGGCTGTCTGAATGTCTTTAGTGAAGTGTCTGTCCATGTTTTAACTGAATTATTTCTTCGCTTTTTGTTGTGGTGCTAAAGTGTTCTATCAATTTTGGAAAGTTGTCCCTTGTCTAATATGAACTCAGTTTGGCTCAATTTTCACTCACAACAGACAGGTGTATTAGGTGCACAATAACACTAGGGAGGTATGCACTCAAAACCGAAGAAGAAAGAACTCAAATTAACAGTTTAACTTGACAACTCCAGGAAGCTGGATGCACAGGAGTAAACTAAGCCTAAACCTACCAGAAAAAAGAAATGAACAAAAATCAGAGAAGATAGAAATAAACTGGGGGGGGGGACACGGACAGGAAGGTAGTTCAATAAAAAGACTCCTGGTGTGGTGCTGTAGGATCAGCACTGGATTGTGAACCACAAGGTCAGCAGTTCAAACCCACCAGCAACCCCTTGGGAACCTTATATAATGTCACTACGAACTGGAATTGACTTGGCTGCACTTAACAAAAACAAAAACAAAATAAAAAGAGAAGTAAATTATTTGAAAAGATGAATAAAACTGACAAACCTTTAGAGTTAGACTGACAAGAGAAAAATTGCAAATAACCAAAATAAAAAATGAAACAGGGAACATTATAACTGACCCAGTAGAAATAAAGAATATTAATGAACAGTGGTATGGCACCAAAATGGATTACATAAAATAGATGAAATGGACAAATTCTTAGAAACATACAACAATATCCAAACCTAGTCAAGAGGAAATAGCAAGTGAAATGATCAATTCAATGATCAAAAGTCTCTCAACAACAACAAAAAAGAAGTCCTGGGCCAGATGGTGTCACTGGGGAAGTCTCTAAAATACCTAGAGAAGAATCCACATCAATACTGTGTAAACGCTTCCGGAAGAGAGAAGAAACATTCCCTCACTAATTCTATGATGCTCCTTGGAAACCCTATATGGGGTCGCTAGGGGTCGGAACCGACTCGACGGCCCTAAATAATAACAATAACAAAAAGACATTAAAGAAAACTTAAATAAATGGATTGAAAGACAATATTATTAAGGTGGTGTGGCGCTGTGGGTTAAGGCACCAGACTGCAAACCTGTTCGGACTGCAAGTTTGGTGGTTCAAGCTCACCAGCTACTCCTTGGAAACCTTATACAGGGTCGCTAAGGGTCGGAACTGACTCGATGGCACTTCACAACAACAACAACTACCTAAAGCAATCTACGGATGCAAAGCAATCCCAATCAAACGTCTAACAGAAATTCCTTTACAGAAATACAAAATCAAATCCTCAACTCTGCGTGGAAAGGAAAGAGGCCACAAGTAGCTAAAACAATGCTAAAGAAAAAAAATCGAATATGAGGATGTACATTTCCTGATTTTAGATCCATATTCTATAGCTATATAGTAATCAATACAGTCTGATACTTGTATAACAATGGTGTTGTTATGTGCCGTGGAGTCAGTTCTGACTCATAGCGACCCTGTATAGGGTTTCCGAGGCTGTAAATCTTTACAGGAGCAGAAAGCCTCATCTTTCTCCCATGGAACATCTGGTAGTTTCAAACTGCTGACCATGAGATTAGCAGCCTGATTCTTAACCACTTCCCTACCAGAGTTCCCTGGTATAACAATAGACTAATGGATTAGAGCTGAGTCTAGAAACAAAGCCACACCTCTACAGAGAATCAACTAATTTTTGACAAGGATGCTAACTAAGCCCATTCATTAGATGAGGAAAGAAAAGTCTCTTCAATAAATGGTGCTGGGGAAACTGGATTTTCATATTCAGAAAAATGGAAGACGGTTCTTGCCTTGAGTCATACCAAGAACGTACGAATTCAAACTGGATTAAGGACGTAAATGTGCAAACTAAAGCCATTCTTAGAAAAAGCAGGGACAATGCTGTCAGGTCTAGCTTTCAGCAATGGATTATCTAATATTACACCAGAAGCACAAACAGCAAAAGACAAGATAAATAAATGGGACCTCATAAAAGTTAAAAACTTTTGTTTTGTTCATCAAAAGACTTCACCAAAAAAGAAAGCGAAAAGATAAGCTACCAAGCCTGGAGAACATCTTCAGAAACCACCTATCTGCCAAGAACCTAATAGCCAAAATAAGAAGGTAAGTCACAAAGTATTGCTAACTCGGGTTCCAGCTCACACATGCACAGATTTAGTCCATATAAAACGGGTTTAAACAAAGTCTCTGCAATCAGTAGACAGCAGCAAAGTTCTCTCAGTAATATACTGGTCTTGGTCTTGTCGGTGTGCCGTCAAAGATAAGGTCCAGTCAAAATAGTATCTTCTAAGGGGGATCTGCAGGGACCGTTAAATTTAAGACAAAGAGGTCGGCTCAGAAGGGTATGGTGACTTTTGTGGGGGATTGAAGGTAGGTAGTTCAAACCCACCAGCTGCTCCTTGGAAACCCTACACAGGGGTGCCATGAGTTGGAACTGACTTGATGGCACGTAACAACAACAATGTTAATAGATTTTCTTGAAGGAAACAGGATGAGCACGGGGGCTTATTATGAAGCCGTTTTAGGAAAACTGAAGGCTGCACTGTTGAGAAAAAGGCCAGGACAGTTGCACTGAGGAGTTTTTATTCATCACAACAATGCATCTGTTTATTCTTCAAGGGTAGCAAGGACTGTCCTAGAAGAGTTTTATTGGAAAACTACGACATTTACCCTCCCCTACAGCCCCGATTTTGTCTCTTCAAATTTGTTCTCTTCAAAGAACATTTCAAAGGGACACAATTTGAATCCCTCCAGGATGCCAAAACTGCTGTTGCGCCATGGTACACACTGAAGCACACAGAATTCTGGGGAAGGACCACAGAGTTGGCAATACGACCTTCAAAAGTGTACAGACCTAGTAGGATGCGTCAACAAACAACAGCTTCACCTTTGGATACTTTGCTTAGTGAAGGGTTCTGTGATTTTGTAGCAATAATGGTTTGACTTATCCTCCAATAGAAGCCAAAGGTTACCAGTGGTTACACAGTTACATGGGGGGGAGAGGGGGGGAGTCCTGCTGAGGGAGCAGTGAACTGACATTAACCGTGGTGGAGCAGGAAAAGGAAGGCGGGAATGGTGGCCCAACTCCAAGAAAGAAACCATGCTCCCAAACTCGCTAAGTAGGAATTGTTGAATTGTTTTGTTGGGTTTATCTTTACAATACATTTTTTTTTTGAAGACAAGGTAAAGAGATGGAGAATGTGGAAGAGGTGGCATTTTAAATTGGAAAGATGTGAGCAAAGACCTGAGTGGAGTACAGGGGGGCTGAGGGAACTTTATAAAGTGGTAGCTTCTGAGACCCAGAAGAGCGCCATCGAAGGCCATGAGGAAGAAGAGAACTGGGTGTCTCTGAAGAAAACTCCAAGGGGGCCAGTGTGGCTGAAATGGTCTGAGGAAGGAGAAAGGGCTAAGAGATCAAGGGCAGATCCCGTTGGGCCCAGCTGTCAGCTATGAAGGCTGGGAGTGCAGTGGGAAGTCTTTGAAGGGGTGTGAGCATGGGATGATCATACTTGGTTTTCAAAGACCCACGCAGGCTGCCATGGGCTGAGCAGATTATAGGGGAGCAAGAGAGGGAGCAGAGAGTCCAGTGTACAGGCTATTGTCCTAACTGAGGCCAGAAATGACTGTGACTCAGGCCAGGGTGTCAATCAAAGATGTGGTGAGACGCAGACAAGCTCGTACCTGCAAGAAGAGTCACGTGGCTCTCACGGGAATACTCACTTCTTTGGGTTTCTGTCTCCATCATCCAAAGCTTTTCTTCTGCCTCCAACTGGAATAACATGTCTAGTTTGAAGGGATGATGCCCTACGGGAGGGCACACAGATACATACATATAGGTGAATATATGACTCAAATATACTCTGATCCAAGTGCTATAACCCACAACCTTTCGGGGCTTTGTTGTCATGGAACGGTAATGAGACACAGATGTAGGTCGTGGCCCAGTTCATGTATATACAGAGCCCTACCGGGTTGTATTTGCATTGTATACTCATTGTATCTCATACCACACACTGCTAACAGTCACAGGCTTTACTGCATGTGAGCAGTTCTTGGTAAGGAACTCTGATGTTCTCATCCTTAGCCATTTCATTAAAAATAACAATAAAATCCAAGCTGTGTGCTAATGACTGGGGGGGCAGGCTTGTAGTGTATACCATTTGTTTGGTTGATAATGCATGGAGGGGATTGTAACCATGGCAATGAAACAATATACGATAGGATGAATGTAAAACTAATGTCCTCCCATGTAAACTATTACATAATTCACAATAAAACATTAAAATAAATAAATAAATAAAACCCGAAACAACTGTAAAAGGAACTGATTTCATGACCCCTCAATGGCCTCCTATTTATTAGGTTTCTCAACCTCAGCGCTACTGAAGTTCTGGACTAATTTTTGTTGTGGGTGAAGACGCTGCCCTGTGCTTTGTGAAAGGAGGCTTAGCAGCATCCCTAACACTCGATGCTAATTGGACCCATTTCCACTCCCATCCCCTATTTGAGACAACCAAAAATGTCTCCAGACATTGTGAAATATCCTCTGCAGAACAAAGACATCCCGGGTTAAGAACCAGAGATTTAAAATAACAAACTTTTCCCTAAGCAAGAAACTACAAAAACTATTGTCCCAGTGATTGTAAAGCTTGTCGTTAAGGTCAGAGAACTATTTCAAAAGACCCAAAACCTTAAACAACTGAGAACAGACACTCTCGCAGGGGCTGCGGTTCAGTAGTAGAGGGTGCCTGTCCTCACCCACAGAGACCAGGTTCTTGAAGTTCTCCACCATCACATCTCGGTACAGTGTCCTCTGGGTGAAGTCCAGCAGCCTCAGCTCCTCCTCACTGAAGACCACAGCCACGTCCTTGAATGTCACTGCTTCCTACGACATGAAACACACACAGTCTCAATGTTACAACCAACCTCCATTGGAAGAAAAAGATCACTAAGAAGGAAAGAGCTCATGAAAACATCGTTCCACACTGCAGTGAAATAAACTGCTTCTAAATGGTCCTTCTAGCTAACAGAGCTGAACAGAGGACTTCGAAGGGCAGCTCAAGAAGATAAAATAAAGCATGATAACGAATTAGGCAAACACTTGGAGCTAAAAAAACCGAAAGGGAAGAACATGCTCAGCATTCTCAAGCTGAAAGAACTGAAGAAAAAATTCAAGCCTCGAGTTGCAATATTGAAGCGTTATATCCTTGGTGTAGTGCTAATGGGATAAAGCACAGGACCGACCGCAAGGTTGGTATGAACCACAAGGTCGGCAGTTCAAACTCACTAGCTGCTTCTTGGAAATCCTACTCAGGGTCACTATGAGTCACAACTGACTTGACAGCACCTAACAACAAAAATGTGTGTAAAATATTGCACAAGGCAGGAAGCATCAAAAGAAGGCGATGGAATATACAGACTCAGTGTACCAAAACGAACTGAGGCCATGGAACAAGGGATATCACTGATGATGTCTGATGGATCTTGGCTGAAAGCTGAGAATATCAGAAAGATGTTTACCTGTGCTTTATTGACTAAGCAAAGGCTTTTGATTGTGTGGATCATGATAAGCTATGGACAATATTGCAAAGTATGAGTATTCCGGAACACTTAATTCTGCTCATGAGGAATCTGTACCTGGACCAA